GAGCCCCCCCACCCAGGAGCCCCCGTCGTCTGTCCCATGGTCCCATGGTGCGGCATGAAGCTCACAGGCAGTCCCAGCCCTCCCTGGCTTCACTGCAGCACCCCGGGCCTTGCCTTTTCCTAGCGCGTCTCTCAGGCCGCGGTCCCTCCTGTGAGGCCACCGTGGAGTCCTGCTCCGGAATCTCCTCTCTCCTTTTCCCGGGCCAGGGCGGTGGGCAGTTCACACCCACTGAGAGCCTCCTGTGCAGTGGGAATGTCAGTGCATGCACTGCCGAAGGAGCACCCGCTCAGTTCTAAACATAACCGGGCCTTGCCTTTTCCTAGCGCGTCTCTCAGGCCGCGGTCCCTCCTGTGAGGCCACCGTGGAGTCCTGCTCCGGAATCTCCTCTCTCCTTTTCCCGGGCCAGGGCGGTGGGCAGTTCACACCCACTGAGAGCCTCCTGTGCAGTGGGAATGTCAGTGCATGCGCTGCCGAAGGAGCACCCGCTCAGTTCTAAACATGTTACAGCGGCGACTTCAGTGTCCTGCCCAGCCCCCTGCCGCCTGTGCTTCCATGTTCAAACCCTGCCTCGGAGGGGGGCCTCGGAGGGGGGCCTCGGCGGGGCACCCCTCCCTGGCTTAGACCCACTGGCCCAGAGCCTGGGAGTTCATTTCCTCCGGCTCAGGCCTTAATGAATGACTGGCAGTTGGTGGGACACAACAGGGAACTCAGAGCTTTTAATCAGGATTCCAATGAAGATCATGGAATTATGAGAGAGGAGCCTGGCAGGCAACACCCTAATCAAGTGAAAATTCAGCCTCAATAAGGGAACGCTGTGAGCTCGTGTGCCACTGGTGGAATGCAACGGGCACACGTCTCCTGTCATATTCCTGCCTCAGGGGCCCGGCACCAACTGGATCTCCAGGGAACATCGCACAGACCCAGCTAGGGGCCATTCTGCAAAACAACTGGCTGATCAGTCAGGAAAGTTCTCAGCTCCCCCCAAACCTAAGGGAATGTCGGTCAGGCCTCCTCAGCCGGAACCCGCAGGAGGTGGCAGAGCCCCCATGCCCTCTCAGCCGGCAGGCATCGCTTCACACCAGCGTTTCATCCCTTCCCCCCACCCTCCGGGACTGACACCAACAGACAGATATACCCACCTTCTCCATGCCTCCTCCCGACCTATTTTCTCCCTGCCTGTGTCTTACACTATTTCTGAATTCTTTGATCTGTAACTTCACATGGGTCCTTGATTTCTGGCTTTTTTGCGTGTGAACCTGGGTTCGAAGTCCCTGTTTGGCTCCTGAGCATCCAGGGTGGGGAATCCCAAGCTCCAGTCTATGTCCTGATCCTTGTTGGTGTCTAAACGCCCCGCCATGGTTCCTGTCCAGGGCACGTGAGAGCCAGCAAGGCACGTTTTCCAGGTCCCCTACCAGTTCAAGCTGGATTCACTTTTATACAATAAACTGTACTAAGTTTGCTGGCCATTTGCAATTTACAGAAAATGTATAAAAAAAACACATGGTGGCCTCCAACTGCTTTGTCAGGAGAAGCTGTAGAAGAATGACACTTGGCGATTATTTTTCCATATACAAAATTCTGGCCTTGTGATTAAGTGATCTGTCTAAGCTTTACCTTAACATTGGATATAATTAATTTTCATTTGAATGCATAGAGTTATCATTTTAAGTTAAGTTATCATTTTGTTTGAAAAACAATCTGGTAAACACAAATCATTTTTTAGGTAGAACTTCAACAATGGTTTGCTGACTCAATGAATGAAGTGTAAGCAGGGGTCTCACAGAGTCTGCATTCAGCAACCTCTGACCTTTTATGTTTCCTCTCCTTGTGTGTGTCTTAAAGAACCAAGTGAAGGAGTGGACAGACCTGTGCAAGGGCAGGGGCATCCCCTGTTCCGAAGACTACTCCCTGATGGGCACCCTGGGAGAAGCCGTGACCATCCGCACCTGGAATATCGCTGGGCTACCTTCAGATTCGTTTTCCATTGACAACGGAATCATCACCATGTAAGAAAGACATTTTTCTCGCAGGTGGCCTCCACGAACCAGGAGATTTATTTGTCTGTCTAGCTTTGTGACAAGTCATAGCTAGCGTACTTTGAGAGTGTTGAAGAAAACTTTTTGCTTAATTAGCTAAATTATATATGAATAATCACCTCCTTTTCCTATTAATATTGGAATAGTTGAGTATTAGAGACCATGATAGACAAACAAAAAAACCCCAGATTACTTGCTTAATTTAATTTTTTTTACTTGCTTAATTTTAAATGAATCTTCAGCAAATAGAGCAAAATCCTACCATTAAAAACAAACAAACAGCCCTAGCCGATTTGGCTCAGGGGATAGACCATCGACCTGTGGACTGAAGGGTCTGGGGTTTGATTCCAGTCAAGGGCACAGGCCCGGGTTGCAGGCTAGATGCCCAGTAGGGGGTGTGCAGGAGGCAGCCAATCCATGATTCTTTCTCATCATTGATGTTTGTATCTCTTTATCCCTCTCCCTTCTTCTCTGAAATATATATATATATATATATTAAAAACGAACAAACAAACCCTACCATAAGTCAATAAAGTCTAGAATTTTTACTCCCAGGGTTTTGTTATTGCAGGTTAATGAAAGGTGCAGTGGGTTGTTGGTGGCGATGCTTTTGCATGTTCCAAATTCTGTAGTGGTCCCTGCTGGGTGTGGGCTATTCTCAGTGATATGGATACACTTCCGGGTTATGGCTGAATGGAGCTTTTACGACAATGGCTGCTATTCCTGGAATCTCCTGTTAGTAGATAAATCCCAGGCAGACTGGGCTTGGAGAATACTGGAGGCTCACCCCGCCTCGCTTTTACCCCAGATCCTACCTCCCGGAAATGAGGGCCTTCCGGGCCCTCATTGTGAGGACAATCAAAAATTGTGCTTTCCAAGTTCACATGTCCATGGGCCTTTTATTGCCAGCCTTCTTGGGTTGAGGTGGTGGTGGGGGCGGGTGTTCGCATGTGAAGAGTAGAGCAGGTCAACCATCAGTAAAACATGCGCAGTTCTGTGTTACATGACTGTTTTGACTAGTAGTTAGTTTACTACTGAAAAAGTAATTGAGATGAAAGCACTTAAAAATGGTTGAGGCGTGTGAACTTTAAAAATAGAGTTAACCACTAACATGTGAAGACTAGTTATTCTTAAGTTTTTGGTCTGTAGCATTTATGAAAATTATCACACAAATTAAAACTCTGGTAAACACAGTTCTTTACTGCTCAACCACTGATCTTGACTTATAGCTTTCTTAGCATTTATTTATGGAATTGGTCTGCAGGGATCTGAGCTATGTGCAATTTGAATCTATACTAATAAAAGGATAACATGCTAATTAGGGCAGACATCGTTCCAACGTCCGGACAAAGCTGCAGCAGCTGCCTGAGGCTCAGGCAAGCCATGGATGGCAGCTACTGCGGTGTGATGGGGGCATCGCCTTCCCCTGATTGGCCCGGTCACCTCCTGCAGAGGGAGGCCAGAGGCAGCAGCAGCAGGAGAGGGTGATGGGGGCAGTGCCTTCCCCTGATTGGCCGGTGGCCTCCCGCAGAGGGGGTCCAGACTGCAGCCATCAGTAGGACATCCCCTGAGGGGTCCCAGAGTGTGAGAGGGGGCAGGCCGGTCTGAGGGAACCCCTCCAGTGCACAAATTTTCATGCACTGGGCCTCTAGTATAATATAAAACAAAACAAAATCTGATGAGAACACCTAAGGGAAGTTAGAGAAGCAGTTACTGCTAGGGACTTGAGACACACGAATCCTTAGAGCTGGGCCCTGGATGACGTCTGAAGTTTTCTGGGGTTTGCTACCCGGACCTGCTGCCATTTCCCTGCTGGGCTGTTCAAAGCCGAAAACAAGAAAACACCCAGTGAGAAACTGTCCCCTCCTATAGGCCGTTCCTCAGGGTTTAACTTCCTTCCCATTCACTTGTTATTTACTTTTTTAGAATCTGCTTTTTGCATTCCTTCCCCCCCCCACCCCCCCCGAGTTAACCGGTGGGAGAGGCTGGTGACAATGTGCTCAGCCCGGCGTGGTCAGCACCGGAAGTCCTTTCCTCTGCTCTTGAGCTGCTGTCCCATGGACCAGGAGTCTCTTAGAAAATGTCAATTTTTAGGACGAGTTAACTGGTATGGTGTTTGTCAGATGTTTTTTGCTGTTTCCATGTCACAAGATAATCATATTCAAACTTGATTTGATCTAGGAATATACGATTTAGTGGGGTGATATAGTTAGGAAATCATGGAATTACCATAATGAAATATTATCACTATGTGTAAGCACCGTAAATGTAACATGGGTGAATTGCTGAAGCTTAGAGAGAAAGGCAAGCAAGACGGGCTTTGTGGACTGCATGGCATTTGAAGTGATCTTGAAACATGAGTGGGAGTTAAACACAGAAGGATGGGGAGGAAGTACATTTTGGACAAAAAAAAAACAAAACCCCAGCATGAACATGGGTGTTGTGGCTAGAAAATTCGAAGCAACAGAAAGAAAAGTGAGTCATTCCACTTCTTTGGGGAGCATAAATGCGGTCTAACATTCACACAAACCCTCCAAACTTAAACATGTTTCTAAAATGCGACAGAATGAAACTTTCACATATTCATAAGTTGTGTTCCTTTCTCATTTCCCTTCTCACACCCTGTAACTTGTCTTGGATACGATTCTCTTTTATTAGTTGAATGAGTCTAAGATGCAAAGCTCCTCTTTGGGTCTCATTTCTTCTTAAATAGAACGGACTGAGTTGTTCCTCCTCCGTATCCGCGCCCCCCCCGCCCCCCCCCCCATTCCCAACAATGTATATGTCGGAGCCCTAGCCCTCAATGTGACTGTCTTTGGAGAGATGGCCTTTAAGGACTTAATCAGGTTAAATGAGGTCAGAAGGGCAGAAGCCCTACCCCAGCAGGACTGGTGTCGTTCTGAGAAGAGGGAGAGACAGCAGGGTGCATGCACAGAGGGCTGTGCTGTCTGCAAGCCAGAGGGGGGCTCTGCAGTAACCACACTTGTGGCACCTTGACCTTGGACTTGCAGCCTCCAGGACCGTGAGACATAACCTCACGCGATTGGAGACACACTGTGGTACCTTGCTATGGCAGCCCAAGGGGACCAGTGCGTCACATGATGCTGACACTAGAGGATGGGACCATCTTCGTTACCATGTAAGTGACATGTTCTGTGTCAGGCTGTGACCTCCATGCTGAGGAATATGATCATGTCCATCTGGGGGTGGGGGGGGCGGGGATTAGTCATCCAATGAAATCCTAAACTCGTGGCATGAGGAAACTCAATAGGAGCTATCATCTTGTTCCCATCCCCACTGTATGTCTCTATTTGCCCCAGTTTCCTTTTATTTTCTCCCCCTGGTCTTCTGATGTTCTGTGTGAACTTTCTGTGTTCACTTTCAAAGACTTTCCTGAGGAAAGTGGCCACTGTGATGGCTGTGTTTACTGCAACTTCTAAGAGAAAGAAAAAATGCCAATCACATTTTACACAAGGCAGCAGGTGATTTGGTTGGTACTACCTGGTGATGGCAGGGACTGGTTAGCCTTGGTGACCCCACAGGATCCTGGGAAATAAACCACATGTCTCCTGGTTCACTGTTCTTGTTCCTATCATAAAAGGGAGGATGGGAGTGAGAATAAAGCGGTAAATGTGAGCACTCCCAGGGCGCAAGACCCTGACTTTCCGAGAATAGGTCTCTGTCCATAAGAAGCTGACGATCACTAGGTAAATCACTAGGTATGTAAGTGACATTGACTATACACGTTTCTGAAACAAATACTGAGTTAACACTTACAGGTCCATGGCTATTATGAAGGTTAGGTGACATAAAATTACACTTTTCACCTTTCTTAGACCATTTTCTGTTTAATGATCTAGAGTTTAAAGAGAAATATGACGTCTCAATTCTTTCTCTGTTGTACAAATGACAGCTGAGAGTGGCTCAGGGGCAAAGCGATTTGCCCAAGATCACATGAGTCATTAATGGCCGGGCCTGGCCACTCGCTGACTTCCATCACTGTGAATAGTTGTCATTGTGACTTAATTAGCAAAAGCAGCAAATGTTTTCAAAATGCAACGTACATATAGAAAACTGTAATTCTCCAAGAGAAGCAAAAGCACCAGCGTTACGTTGGCCAGCTGGCTTTTAGAGTTGCCATTGTAGGTGCCTGCTCAGTGTAAATGTCTGCCTGCAGAGCGTAGCTCCTTACAGGAAGGTAAAGGGTAAAGCATCCCTAGACAGCATAAGCTGTAAGTGATGCGTGTGACATTAAACACCATGGAGACGAGTCATAGCTTGACCAGCACCGTCTTTCTTGTCTCTTTCAGGAACGCGAGAAGGTGGCCTCTGATGATAGACCCTCAAGGTCAGGCTAATAAATGGATCAAGAACATGGAAAAGACCAACAGTCTGCAGCTGATTAAATTCAGTGACCCTGACTATGTCAGGACGCTGGAGAACTGCATCCAGTTTGGGACCCCTGGTACGTAGGCAGCCAACAGGCATACCTTACGGAAATGCCTGGGGAGGGCTCATTAACCCCAAATGGTGTAGGTTGTTCCTTTTTAAAAAAATAAGTGTGTTGGATTAATCTTAAATTATGACTTTATTAATGTCTTTCATTATTTATTGACAATCAAGTGAGAACTTCAGAGATTCTAGTTCCAGAAGGTTAGGATATTTTCTGTGTCTCAAAGTGAATTTATGATGCATCCTCTAATAGAGCTAAAGTTTTAATTTTTGTCTGTTCTTTGTTGTTCTTTAGTTCTTATTATGACTCCACATCTACAATTAAAAGGGCCACTTGATATGTCAAAAGTATTTTAACACAGTGTTAGTCCAGTTATCTATTTATTCTCCTTTCAACTTACCCTATAAAAATGGCAGAGGAGTAAGTACACATTTTACGTGGCCGACTGTTATCTGCCATTAACAAGGGAGAGATTAGAAACATGGCCAGGATTTTTCAATAAAGCTCTATGCACATGTCACACTTGTCAAAACAAAGAACAGAATAGTTATGATTGGAGTAAATTGGGGTTATTAGTCACATTTTAAATTCATGTTACTCATCAGATGTGACTCTTTACTTGATCAAATAAATGGAAACATGATGAAACTACAACATATTTAGCCTCAGGACAAGTTTAGCAAACCCCAGGTTCTGTGAGAGCGAGTACTGTGTGGAAAAATAATCACAAATATACCAGGTGGTCTCTCAGGCATTTTATTTTTGTATATTAATAATGAGTTAGTCTTTAAAATATGAATTACAATTGTAGGTTCTATTAGGGTAGGCATGAAATGAACCAAGTCTACTAATGAAATCTGTGTGATACACACACACACACACCCGCTCACACCCACACACACACACTCAGAATTTCCTCCATCCAACCGGTGTTCTTAGAGCATAGTGTAATGATAGGAGTTACAAAAAGGGGGAATATGATCTCTACTATCAAATGCCTTGCTTTTTTGAACAGACAGGACCGGGAACTATATGTAGCTAGCTGTAATACAAATAGAAAGTGGAAGGACATGGCTAACCTTACCAGAACTACTGTGCTGTGATGGGCAGGCTCTGGAAATAGAGTAGATGCCCCATCACTCAATGCCTCATTCAGTGACTCCGTTCCCCATCTGTACTTTGGCCAGGGAGACAGAGCGACTACTTTGCGTACTTAACGCAGATAAGCTCAACTTATGTTGCTTCTGCGGTTGGAGACTTACTATGCGGTTTATGTGTACCATCTTTTAATTCTATTAGTATAATAGTTAATTATCCTAGTATAATCAGAAGGACACAGATGATGAACTATGAGAATTCAGAGGACTCAGATTTCTTGAAGGAATTGGCACCATAAATACTTTGTGTGATTAAAATTACCTAATTTAGCTTGAGTATTCAAATAATTTCCTTGACACAGGTAAAAAGAACAAATTAATGATAACTGAGCATCTACCACATGCTTGGCGTTCTGGAGATTTCTGTGATCTCAGCCATAAATATTGGTGACAATACTGCCATGATTTTAGACAGAAATATGCCGTGGAGCCAATCAGTCTGTGTTTTTGAAAGCGTAGGTCACACTGTGAGAGAGAAAACCAACTTAGTGGGTCTTGACCAGCATTTTCAAGTGAAATGCAATAGAAACTAATAGAACAGATTAGGCTGCCTGGCATGGAGTAAAGGTGAGCATTCTTTTCTGAAGTTTTAAAAGTTTTAGATGCATATGTGTAGACTCGATTAAGATGTAAAATGCATTTCTTACTTGGAGTTGTGGCCATTTTAAAAAAAAATTGAAATCCAGTTATCATTAAGTTGTTCTTTTTACCTGTGTCAAGGAAATTATTTGAATATTCAAGTTAAATTAGGTAATTAGGCAAATCCACTTGGTTTTATTAACAAGGTAGGTGAGGAGCCAGAGAGTGTTAGTCACGTGGCTTAGCCAGCTTGCACCCCTCATCAAGGGCAGTGCCGAATGGGTCCCCAAGTCTTCTGCCTGTGGCTTCCGTGTCCTTTACACTCGCTATAGCCTAGTTTCTGGAATGAAATACTTTAAAAACAGATAGCGATTGTTTACAATGCCTTCTGACATTCATCATCGGGAAGAGGTGAGAAGTTTTAAATCTATTCCAGAAAGAGAAACAGATGGCACATTTTAAACTTTTTATATTTAGCCTCCAAGCGAAAGGGCCATTGCTGCCACCGCTTTACAATGTAGGCGGCGAAGACTCCCCCGTTAAGGAGTTACCGTTAGACCGGCCTCTCCCCAGACGGCGCTGCCCAGTCCAGGCCGCCGGGCGGGGCGGGAGCTTCCTCCTCCTCCCTCACCCCCGGGCCTCCCTCTTATTGATGTTGAGTTTTAGGATAAGATCCTCTTTGATAAAATATCCCGCTACTTAAGGGAAAAAAAGTTTTAGAGCCAAAGTTCTAGAAAATAAAGGTACATTTGCCTGAGCTGTGCCGGTGCATAAGGTTTGCCCGGAATAGTAATCAGACAAAGACTGCTGGTAAGTCCATTTTCACACCTCAGTACAGCTGGAGACACAAAACAGGAGAAGATTTTAATTTTTAAAAGAGAAATCAATTGGTGTAGATCTTCCCATGGCTTTCCGTGCCCTCCACGAGAAGCGTCTTTTCATTAAGAGCGAACCCCCGGGTGGGAGCCTGTCCTACCGACACCCCATCTCCCCGCAGAGCATCCCCGGGACGCTGCGCTCCCTCCAGGGGT